ATGGCAGACCTGCCCCTGGCATCGGCTCCGTCGTCCACGGACCCTCTGGACGAGGACGAGATGGGCGACGTGTTTGCCAGCCTCGCCGAGATCCTCGAGGCCAGCGGAGATGAACCCCATCAACGTGATCAGCAGCCACCCGTCCTGGTGCGCCTGCACACCCTGGACGGCAGAAGCCTGGAGGCCACGCTGCCGCGCGACGCCGCGGTGGCGGACATCAAGCGGAAGGTACAGTCCTTGCATGGCGTGCCGGAGTTCAAGCAGCGGCTCGTGCTGGGGGTGGGCGCCTTGGCGGACGACGAGCGCCCACTGCTGGCCTGTCAGCGAAGAAGGAAGAACGGCATGAACAGAAACTGTCGGAGCTCCGCGCGGATTTCTTGACTCGACGCCGGCCCAAGAATTCTACGCGCAGCTCCGAACGCTCATGTTTGTGCAGTGGTTTCTTCCTCTGTGTCAGTCGAGCGTGGACATGAGCCTCGTGGTGTCGGAGTGCACGGTGGTGGACCGGATGTCGCCCGCGCTCCTCGGCCGGCCCAAGTACTGGTCGCGCGGCGTGCTGGTGGAGGAGAGCTGCCGCATCTACTCCGCGCCCTACAGCGCGCCGCACGCGCTGTGCGTTGACGTGGCGCGCGGCACCGTGGAGGAGGTGGAGCCCTGCGGGCGGGGGCTCAGGAGGTGCCTGCAGATCGTCGAGGGTGGAGAATCCCAGGCATGCTCCGGCGTCGTGACGAGAATCACGACGGGAGGTTTTCGACAGTTTGGGCTTCTGGTGGCCCTCGCCAGGCCCAGGCCCTGGGATGAAACACCAGCCCTGGGGACCGGGTCGGGACTTCCGGGGACCGCGTTTTACACAAGTCAAGGCAAGACATCTCATGTCTGGGAGCACTGTTTTTGGACGTGTGGGGCTCTTGTCGGGCCTCTAGAGACCTCCAGGAGCCTTCGGCGAGGTACGTGGCTGGAGGCGTGCGGTCGCCAGAGACGGGGATGGTGTACTTCGCCCCATACGACGCGGAGCGAGTGATGTGCGTGGACCCGCGAGCTGGCACCGCCAGCGAGATCGGCCCGGTGCTGCAGGGCTTTGAGAAGTACTGCGCCGATGGGATCCTCGCGTGTAACGGGAGCATATACTTCGCTCCGTGCAGCGCCGACAGGGTGCTGCGGGTGAGCCCCGCAGATGGCACGGTCGAGGTTGTCGGCCCAGCGCTGCTTGGCAGAAACAAGTTTCGAGCGAGCGGTGCGCTCTCGCCCGCGAGCGGCTGCATGTATTTTGCCCCCTGCGATGCGGATCGAGCTCTTGCTGTCAATCCAGCATGCGATGATGTGAAAGAGATCGGGCCCGAGCTCCCCGGTGACAGCAAATATCAGGCTGGAGGTGCTTATTTCGAGGGCGCCGTCTTTTTCGCGCCTCACTCACACTTCCGGGTGCTAAGAATCGACACGAGTACGGAGACGGTGGATTTGGTTGGTCCCTCATATCCTGGAGAGGGCAAGTACGAGGCTGGGGGTGTGCTCGTACCTTCCACTGGCCGCATCTATTTCGCTCCGTGCAACACGGACCGCGTTTTACGCATCGATGCAACGACCAGCGCCGTGGCAGAGATTGGGCCCATAGTCGGCGGCGGCAGTTTCCAGTACACTGCGAGAGGCGTGCTGGCGCCGTCCAGCGGCAAAATATTTTTTCCTCCATGCAACGCCCGGGCCATGCTTTGTGTCAGTTCCGAGGATGATTCTGTTGAAGAGGTCGGCCCAGTGCTCGGAGGCTACGACAAATATCGGGCGGGAGGCGTGCTGGTGCCACGTCTGAGAACCATCTGCTTTGCGCCACACGCAGCACATCGCGTGCTCAGGGTTCGCTTTTGAGTCAGAGCGGCCACCTCGAGAAACCTTGGCGGCGATGGCGCGCGGACGCGTAGAGCTCCGTGGATCGACAACATGGAAGCCAAACAAGCATCTGGTATCCTGCTGGCTTCACCAAGGGATACAGGAAAGTGGTGACAGATGTACGGCACTCCAAGCAGAAGCCAGAGAGGCGAGGTCTAGTATGGGTCTGCGTAAGACCCCGTTCCGCTGGTCGCCCCAACGTCGGCAGGATGCTGCGCCCTGGCGGACGCTAGGGAGCACCCAGGAGGGCGAGGTCCAGCTTGGGTCCGCGTTAGACGCTATCCCTGCTTGTCCAACAGGGGCGCTGTGCTTCCGGCAGCTTTTCCGGGGGCCGAAGTCAAGTTTGGAACCTCGAAAGACCCCGCCCCGCTGGACCTGTCAACGGCGCATGAAGGTGGCGACATGTGTTTTTGACTGCAGCATCTAGGGGGTGTTCTAGTTTGGATCCAGTTGTCGTTGCAGTTGGGGCTTCAACAACAGAGATATGTCATCAAGCCCGCGCTTTAGTGGTTTCAGAAAAAATGCAGCCCACGTCAAAGCGAGAGTGCCCAGAACAGTTTTCCATACATCAGCAATAATGGTTCTCTAAAAATGAATATTCGACGTCGCCGGCAACAGCGACAGAGGAGAGAGGAATGGAGTAAGACAGAGGGAGGACATGGAGGAGAAGGAGGAGGAGATGGGCGGGTGGGGGGGAGCGGCGGGATGGAGGGCGAGGAGACACCAGGGCGGGAAGGAGGAGGAGAAGGAGGAGGGGATAGGAGATGAGGTGGAGGAGGAGGCGGGGAGAACGGGAGGAGCTAGAAGAAGAAGAAGAGCAGGAGGAGGAGAAGCCCGAGGAGGAGGAGAAGCCACCCCTCCATTCACTCCACTTCGCGCTCCCTCCCCCATGTCGCCATCCCCAGGGGTCCGATGCATGTTCTCCCCACATCCAAAGTGGGACCAGTCGATCTCCCTAGTTTCCTCCGCGCAGAAACACACTATCACGCTGTTATCCTCTTTTCTTCCGGTATAAAGTTGCCATTACCATGAACACGCACATACACATGGGCACAGCGTCAAGATCACCATCAGTACCTTCACTCATCCACGCACCCGCTAAGACACTCACACACCAACATTCATATCAAGGAAATCTCAAGCGCCTCGCCTGTGAGATAGTTGCGAGGACGTCTCAAGCGTGAGCCCCTCTGTGCGGAGTCTCCACGTTGCATTTCTAATCCAAGGGGTCCACTCCAATCTTGTAACTACCGTCACTTCGAGTTTTCTGACAGGCCTGGATCTTGAAGAAGTCGCGAGTAGGAGCATCGTGGGATAGTCACGTGCGAGGAAGTCTCAAGCGGGAGCCCTTCCCTATGGGGTCCCCACTTTCTTGTTTTAATCGGGGGGGTCATCACAATCCTGTAACTGTTGTTTATGTTTGTGCCCCTGAGGCTCGAACCATGAAAAAGTCTCAAGCGGGAGGCTCGCCTTTGAGCAATTTGCGTGGAAGTCTTGAGCGGCACCCTCTTCTGTAAGTGAGTTGCAAGGAAATCTCAAACGGGAGACCCTCCCTGGAGGTTTCCAGCTTATACGTTTGATTCCGGCGGGGTCATCTCATTATTGTAGTTGTTGTCACTTGTGGGCTCTTTAGGCTCGTACGTGCCGCGAGGAAGTCTCAAGCGGGAGCCTCGTCTGGGCGAGTTGCGAGGCCACCCTATGGGGTTCCCACTTGCGTGTTTAGTTTGAGGGGTCATCCCAAACCTGCAATTGTCGTCTAGCTTGGGCCCCCGAGGCCTGAATCATGAGGAAATCTCGAGTGGGAGCATCGTCTTGAGCCAATCGCGAGGAAGTCTCTGGCGGCAGCCCCTACCCATAGGGCTCCCACGTCATTCTACATCCCCAGACCGAAAGATTTTTCCTCTTGGCGCTGAACCTCACGGCCCCACGCGGTGCACGGGCCCTCTGGGAAATCATAGCGGCGAACCCAGTGAGGGTTGCACAGATCCGATGTCCTACCTTACCGTACTCGTGAGATTGCGGCGGATCCCATTTCCGTGCGCGCGGATCCCATTTCCGATTCTCGGGATCCGCGTCGGGCCCTATTTTGCACGGCGGATCCCATTTCTACCCCGTTTTGAATTTATGATATCAAATTCGTTCCGGGAGCCTACAAGAATGGAATCCGTCGACCGCAGGACCCTCCCGTGTTAAGATTCTACGGGGGACGGGGGGGGCCCTCTTCGACGTCAAGAGGGAAGCGTTCGTCCTGCGAAAGTAGTAATCCGAGGGGGGTCGTCAGAGCGTTGTAGCCGTCATGATTTCTGGGCTCCTGAGAACTGAGGCTTGAGGAGGTCTCGAGCAAAGCCTCGCTGTCGAACAAGAGCTGGAGCCCCCACCCCACCCCACATAGGACTCCCGCCTCATCGTGGTAATCCGACCAACGGCTTGCTCTGGCAGTATTGGCGAATGGCACTCAGGCGTCTTAACGGGCCTCTCTGACGAGGCGGAGGAGGAGGGGGAGGAGGAGGAGGAGGAGGAGGAGGAGGGGGAGGAGGAGGAGGCAGGAGGTGATGTGGGTCTCAGACGGGGTCCCATGGCATCGGCATGAAAGAAGGAGGATGAGGCGGGAGGAGGCAGGACAAGGCGGCAGGAACAGGAGGAGGGAGGGGGACCAGGAGGAGAACAAGGAGGGGGACGAGAAGGAGGGGGACGATGGGAGGGAGACGAGGACGAGAAGGAGGAGGAGGAGGAGGAGGAGGAGGAGGAGAAGGAGAGGGAGGCAGCAGGAGAAGGCAAGAGGAAGCAGGACGAGGAAGAGGAGGAGGGAAGGAGGAGACGGCTGGAGTGGGGGAGGTTACGATGATGATAATGATGACAATAATGCTGATGATGACGAGGAGGAGGAGGAGGAGGAGGAGGAGAGGAAGAGGAGGAGGAGGAGGAGGAGGAGGATGAGAAGAAGAAGGGGAAGGCAGGAGGAGGAGGAGGAGGAGGAGGAGGAAGAGGCAGGAGGCAGGAGGAAGATGCAGGATTGAGAAGCACAGGAAGCGAGAGGAGGAATAAGAGAAGGTAGCAGGAGAAAAAAAAGGCAGCAGGAGGAGGCAATGGGAGGAGGAGGGAGGAGAAGGCAGGAGGAGGAAGAGGAGGAGGCGGCAGGAGGAGACAGGGTGAGCGGGGAGGAAAAGGAGGAGGAATAGGAGCAGGAGGAGGCAGGTGAAGGATGAGGCAGGATGAGGGGGAGGCAGGAGAAGGAGGAGGGAGGGTGGATGAGGAAAAAGAGGATGCAGGAGGCAGGATGCCACAGGCACAACGATGATGACGACTATAGCTCTCATGCAAACAGAGGAGTTTCTCATGCGGGGTCCTACCGTCGGAGTAATTTTCAGCACGGGGCCCACTGAAATCCGACTCTCTGACAGTGCTTACTTCTTATCTTGAGTAGTTGTCTGGCGGCCCCGCAGCCCGGCGAGGGGTGACGTTTGTTGCTCAGCACGCTGGAGGTCCGGGCCCCTCCCTCTCTCCCTCCCTCTTTCCCTCCTGCTCGCGCGGCCCCGGCGTGTTCGGTGTCCGTGCCTTTCGAGGCTGACGTGGCCACAGCGAGCCTGAGACCTGCCGACCCCTGCGCGGTACGCGGGAAGGTCCAGAGGGCGCACTTTTAGCATCCACAGGCAGGCCTCCAACGCTGTGGGAAAGTAGAGGCTGCGTTTCTTCGCCGTTGTCGGCCTCGTGGGGCCTTTGCCTGGCCCCGGGGCTGGCAAAAGCTGCACGCTCGGGGCGAAAGGCTGGCTCCGCGATGAGGGTCGGGACTTTTTGAGGGGGGGGGTGTTGGCCTCCCTCCCCGTCCTCCCGCGCCTGCGGGAGATTGCCAGGGGGACCTCGAAAACGCTAGGTTGACGATGCGACCAACAGCTTACGTGGCGCCGGATATGACACCCCTGACGAGGACTGGACTACCCCAATTTGAAACGCAGCGGTATGGACGAGCCTGGAGGAGAGCTTCGTGAACAAAAAATGCTTGAGGCGCTGCGGTGGAGCGGCGTGGCCGCCAAGCGTGGCTGGCCGCAAGCGCGCGCGCCCCATGAGGCGGCTGGCGGCCCGACCCGGAGGTCAGCTTGGCCGAGGAGCCGCTGGGTCGATGGCCTGCTGCCGCTGCGTCGCCGGGCCTTCGCTGGGTCGGCGTCGGATTTATTCGTAGTGCGACTCAAGGCTATGTCAGAGGTTCGGCGCCCCACGCATCAGGAGGTTGGGCCGTGGCTACGCCTTCCCAAGCGCCTGAACCAAAAAGCTACGGTGAAAACAAATCTGGTGATACAAATTCGGGTCTGCCGCCGTTGCGCCGCTGGGCGTTCGCTGGGTCGTCGTCGTCGTCGTCGTCATGATCGTCGTCGTCGCCGTCGTCGTCGGTGGCGGCGGCGGCGTCGGCGGCGGAATCGGCGGCGGCATCGTCGTCATCGTCATCGTCCGCTCGTCGATGAGGGGCCTTCGGCGGAGGCCTCTGGAGACTTCTGGCGGCCCTCGGCGGCCTTCGGTGACCTGGGCAGCGGTGCAGAGAGGGCACGGCAGCGGCGGCGGCGGACGATGGCAGTGCCGTGAAGACGTGCTCAAGTCTGGAGAACTCTGGTGAGAGAACCCCGGGGCCTGTACCGAGAGAGGTGTCCAGGGGAAACTGACAAAGTGAAAACTGAAAAGTGAGCCGACCAGACCGTGGGGCGACGCGCTTGTGGCGTCGTTCTCGGGCGGCAGCTCGATTGGCTGCAATCCTTGCCAACTGGTCAGCTGTGAGGACAGGAGGAGGGGGCGGGGGAGGGGAGGGGGCCGAAAGAGGCGAAGCAAGGAAGCAGGCACGGCAGCGCGGAAATGGCGGGGCGTGTCGAGGATGAGGAGGAGGAGGACAAGGATGAGGAGGAGGAGGAGGAGAAGGAAGAGGAGGAGGGAGAAGGAGGAGGGAGGAGTAGGAGGGAGGAGGAGGAGGAGGAGGAGGAGGAGGAGGAGGAGGAGGAGGAGGAGGGGAGGGGAGAAGGAGGAGGAGGAGGAGGAGGAGGAGGAGAAGAAGGAGGAGGAGGAGGAAGAGGAGACAGAGGAGGAGGAGCGTGAAGAGGAGGAGGAGGAGGAAGAGGAGGAGGAGGAGGGGGTTGAGGAGCGCAATATTTGGGTCCACACAGTCTCGCAAACGCACGGCCTTGAATTTCTCTTTGCAGCTGTCCCACTGCAGAGCGTGTGACACACGATCGCCGCGCTGCTTGTCCGTGAGCCCAGCGGTGTCCGTCATGCGCGCGAACACCCCAGGGCCTTCAACATCAGGTTGAATGAACCTAAAGGCCTTCCCGCTGCAGATCTTGAAGATGGTACCGCTGAGGTCGCACTCCGCGCTGCTGGAGCCAGCTCACGATGAGTCACGATGAGGCCGCTCACCGAGTCCGGGACACATATTCGTTGCGCGGAGACCCTGTCGGTTCTGTCCCGGCCGCGTGGCCGATAGTTTTGCCGGCGGTAGTATCCCTTCCTCCGTCTTGTTTCTGTCGTCGTTGGTCGGGTCCTCTTGCCTTCTCCTCCTCTCCTGGACTATGGCCGTTTTTTTTTCCCCCGGTATTATTTGACCTGAGACGTTACTGCACGTTCGTGCCTGACCGCCGTTTGGGACAGCGGATGATTTCTACTGGTGTTATGCGATTCATACTTCCGCGCTGGGATATTCCAGCGTGAGGTTTTGTGCCTTCCCCCTCCTCCTCCTCCTCCTCGCCCCTCCCGGTTTCACCGATACGATCTGGGGACAGTCGTGTCATCCCGTGTACGCGCGGCATTGTTTGGGCAGCGATCTCCTAAGCAGTGGCGGAAACCAGCGCCGTGTGTTGGCTCCGTTGGTGCAGGAATCCTCGCTCTCCGTTATCTGTCGCTCCTCCCCCTTCTCCCCCTCTCCGCGCCAGAGAAAGCTTCGCTGCTGAGCAAGTGCCCGTTGCCAGGCTTCTCCGTCGCCGATATCGGCACTGTGGCATGGGCCGGGTTGCCGCGGCAGGCCGTGGCTTCATCCTCCGCCCAAGGCCCTCTTCGTCCTCCCCCCGAGAACCCTGCTGGATGTAAAAAAAAGAACTCCGCGCTGCTGGAGCCCGCGAGGCCTCCGAAAACGACCTTACACGGGCTCCTCGCTCTGCTTATGGATCTTGTTGCCCAGGCGCTCGACAAAGTCAACCACGCTCATTGGCTGCACGCTGGTGTCGTCACAGACCTAGCGGAACTCCAGGCTTCTGCGCTCCGTGCTGATGAAGTCCTCGTGACCTCTGCGCAGTCGTCAGATCGGCTCCATACCCTTGCTCTCCATGGCAGCTGAACGCGCCCTCCCGGGGCCTGGCTTGGGCCGAGAGGCCCACGGCAAGCATACCACCGCGCGAGGCCCATAATACGAGAGCTTGCGCTGGAGGCCGAGCGCCCTCCATGGAGCCCGTTCCGCGCCCGGCGGAGCACGGAGAGCAGCCCAGACGCGTGGAGTCCACACGAATACCTGATCCCCAGCACGGCAGGTTTGTGTCGTAACACTTTCGGCGTTGGTTTCTGACACCCCGTGCATCGTTCAGCTTTGGAAGTTCGGGGCTCCCCGACCGCGCAGGTCGTTCGATGGCGGCCGATCCTGCGGCGGGAAAGGTCCTCGACGCCAGTCCGCGCCGTCGTTGTCGCCGGCGTCACCGGCGCTGCCCGCCTACTCGTGTCGAAGGGCAGGGAGCACAGGAGCGCGCCTGCGGGAAGGTACTCGCCGCCAGTCCTCGCCGCCGCCGCCGCCGCCGACGCCGTGTCGCCCGCCCATTCGTGTCGACGGGCCCGGAGCACGGTGGGGCGCCCGCGGGAAGGTCCTCACAACCAGTCTTCGCCGCCGCCGCCGTCGTCGCCGTCATCGCCCGCCCATTTGGGTCGACGGGCTGAGGAAACGGCAGCGCGTATGCTGGAAGGTCCTCGCCGCCAGTCCTTGCCGCCGCATTCGCCGCCGCCGCCATTGTCGCCGTCGCCGCCCGCCCACTTGTGTCGACGGACCGAGAGCACAGTGGACCGCCTGCGGGAAGGTCCTCGCCGACAGTGTTCGTCCCCGCCGCCGCCGTCGTTGCCGTCGCCGTCGCCGCCCGCCCTCTTGGTATCGACGGGCCGAGAGCACGGCAGCGCGCCAGTGGGACGATTTTCGCCGTCAGTCCTCGCCGCCGCCGCCGTTGCCGTGGCCGCCCGGTCACCTGTGCCGACGGGCCGAGAGCACGGTGGCGCGCCTGCGGGAAGGTCCTCGCAGCCGGTCCTCGCCGCCGCCGTCGCCGCCGTCCTCGCCGACGGGCCGAGACCAGATCCGCATGCCCCAGATAATAGAGCATAACCTCCCCTTCCCACGACCCGCATGAGAATTCTCAACCAAAGCAGTTTGGGTCAGCGGTGAGGTGCGGCGGGGCCGAACTTCATGATCGCCAGAGGAAATATGCATCGTAGCTGGGATAATCTTATCATGGCTATTTTTAACATCAGCATCATCATCCTCAGCATCATCATCAAAATCATCATCATCACCACCACCATCATCATCATCATCATCATCATCATCATCATCATCATCATCATCATGATCATCTTCATCATCATCATCATCATCATCACCATCATCATCACCATCATCATCAGCACCATCATTCGCATCATCATCATCGTCATCATCATCATCAGCATCATCATCATAATCGTCAGTAGCATCATTAGCATCATCATCAGCCTCATCATCATCAGCATCATCATCGTCAGCATCATCATCACCATCATCATCATCATCATCATCATCATCAGCATCACCATCCTCACCATCGTCGTCGTCATCTTCACGGTTATTTTTCTCGTCGTCATTCGCCGAGTTCTCGAGGTGAGGATGCCTCAGGCGAACGCACATTGTTCATTGTCGTGAAGATGTCCCAAGCAAAAAGCTCAACCCAGGAGTCCTGCTCCTCCCACCCCTCCATGGAGGCCCCGCTTGAGCGAGCACGGTATCGCTATACCATATAATTTCTCAGGATTTCTACACCTCCCACCCATCCAGGGAGGCCCCGCAAGAGCGAGCACGGTATCGTTATACCATGTGATACCCCGTGCGTCCGTACACTCCCAGAGATTCCGTTCGCTCTTCCTTCTCCTCCTTCTCCTCTTCCTCCTCCTCCTCCTGCCCCTCATCCTACTTTCTGGTGCGACCTGCCGGGGAAAAAGTACTATCCCGCCAGAACCCCGAGCTTTCTTGTCTCCATCTTGTGCTCATCGGGGGCATAGAGTTAGTTGCGACCCTGTGGGATGGTCCTCGCCACAAGACCTCGCCGCCGCCGCCGCCGACGCTGTTCTCGCCGCCGTCGCGCGGCAGCCGTCGCCGCCGCCGCCGTCGCCGCCCGCCCACTCGCATGGACGGGCAAAGAGCACAGTAGCGCGTTTGCAGGGGAGTCCTCTCATCCAGTCATCGCCGCCGTCGTCGCCGTCGCCGCCCGCCCATCCAGTCATCCAGAGCACGGTACACCACCTCCGGGAAGGATTTCGCCGCAGAATTTCGCCGCCGCTGTCGTTGCCGTCGCTGCCCGCCCACTCGCGCCGACGAGCCGAGAGCACGGCGGCGCGCCAGCGGGAAGGTCTTCGCCGCCAGTGTTCGTCGCCGCCACTGCCGCCGCCGCCGCCGTCGCCGTCGCCGCCCGTGCACTCGTGTCTACGGGCTGAGAGCACGGTTGCGCGCGTTTGCGGGGAGGTCCTCGCCGTCAGTCTTCGCCGACGCCGCCGTCGTTGCCGTCGCCGCCCGCCCACTCGCGCCGACGGGCTGAAAGGGCGGAAGCGCACTTGCGGGAAGGTGCTCGCCGCCAGACTTCGCCGCCGCCGTCGTCGCCGTGGCCGGCCGCCCACTCATGCCGGCGTGCCGAGAGCACAGGAACGCGCTTGCGGGTCCTCGCCGCCAGTCTTCGCCGCCGCCGCCGCCGCCGTCGCCGTCGTGGCCTGCCCACTCGTGTCGACGGGCCGTGACCACCGTAGACCGCCTGCGGGAAGGTCCTCGCCGCCAGTCCTCGCTGCCGCCGCCGTCGTTCCCGTCGCAGTTGCTGGCCGCCAATTCGCGCCGACGGGCCCGGAGCACGGTAGCGCCCCTGCGGGAAGGTTTTCGCCGCCACTCCACGCCGCCGTCGCCGCCGCCGCCGCCGCCGTCGCCGTCGCCGCCCGCCCACTCGCATGGACGGGCTAAGAGCACAGTAGCGCGTTTGCAGGGGAGTCCTCTCATCCAGCCATCGCCGCCGTCGTCGCCGTCGCCGCCCGCCCACTCGTGTCGACGCGCCGAGGGCACGGTAGCGCGCCTGCGGGAAGGTCCTCGCCGCCAGTCCTCGCCGCCGCCGCCGCCGCCTAAGCCACTGTCGCCGCCGTCGCTGTCCGCCCATTCATATCGCCGTCGCCGCCACCGTAGTCGTCGTCGCCGCCCGCCCACTCGTGTCGACGGGCCAGGAGTACCGTAGCGCGCTTGCGGGTCCTCACCGCCAGTCCTCGCCGCCGCCGTCCTCGCCGTCGCCGTACGCTTAATCGTGCCGACGGTCCGAGAGCACAGGAGCGCGCTTTCGGGAAGGTCTTTGCCGCCGATACTCGCCGCCGCCGTCGTCACCGTCGCCGTCCACCCACTTGCGTCCGTCGAGCACGGTACCGCGGGTTTGCGGGGAGGTCCTCGCCGCCAGTCCCCACCGCCGCCGTCCTTGCCGCCGCCGTCATCGCTACCTGCGTCGCCTTCTCCGCCCGCCCGCTCGTGTCGACGGGCACAGTAGCGCCCCTGCAGGGATGTCTTCGCCGCCAGTCAGTGCTGCCGTCGTCGTCGCCGCCGTCGTCGCCCGCCCACCCGTGTCGACCGGCTGGGAGCATGGTGGCGTGCTTGCGGGAAGGGCATCACCGCCAGTCCTCGCCGCCGCCGTCGCCGTCGTCGCCGCCGCCGTCGCCGTCGCCGCCCGCTTACTCGTCTCGACAGGCCGAGGGAACAGTGTCGCGTTTGCGGGGAAGTCCTCGCCGCCAAGCCTCACCGCCGCCATCGCTGTCGTCGCCGCCGTCGCTGCCGCCGTCGTCACCGTCGCCGCCAGGCCTCTCGTGTCGACGGGCCGTGGGTTTTGCCACGACCTGCGACCGCTTAGATCCCCACGCCCTGCTGCGGATAGCTCTGTCGCTTCGGCGAAGCTCATGCCCCGAAGTATACATGCGGCTCGGCCTTAGACATCATGGCCTTTTCCGACAGCGGTTTGCCAACGCACCCCCAGCCGTTTGTTTTTGAGCGTCGGGCGAGCATGCGCTTGATGGAGGGAGGCATTGGGCAAGAGGACTTGCATGCCAATATTGATTTCGCGGCCTCGTTGTCTGCCTTTTGGTAGGACGTGCTCTTATCTGTGTGCTGGGCTGTGGGTGCACGCCATACTTCTGGTCAAGCAAGTGAGGAGACGCATAGAGACAGCTGGGGCATTCAGTTCCGATCTTGTGACTATGGATACCCCGTTGTAGAGTTCCCTGCATGTTACGCTGCGCTCTGAGAGCCAAGAGTTTGCGCAAGCGTGCACGAGTGCGCGTGGTATTGCCCAGGACGTGGGTCGGAACGGCACGGCGTTCGGCAAGATACTACGGGGCGCCGCCGCTGCCAGGATCTTGTACGAGGACGCCGACTTCTTGGCATTCAGGAGTGCGACGCCCTCTGGAATTGGAATCCTCGGCCTTAGTGCGACGCCCTCTGGGATAAGAATCCTCCACCTTTTTGCTCTAGCCCCCCCCGCTTGACCAACTATTTTTCGACCCTGTACCGGGCCGAATTCACAGCAGCCATCGCACCAGTTGGCCACGCACTTCCCTCTCCCCGAAAACAGCTGCGAGATGCGACGCAGCCTCGCCGTAGTCTGCCTCTCAGGCGTAGCCCTTCTTCGTGTACTGCTTCCCTCCCTTCGCGACCGTAAGATCGCCGTGAACTGGAAAGTCGAGTGTTCTTGTCCCGGATATCCCTCCATCCCTCTTCCTTATGTAACTCCCCCCCTTGTCGCGCCACAAGACGTGTCGTCAGGGCGGGCCAGGAGTTCTGCGCGATGATTCAATTAGAATTTCCACCAGTTCCTCTGGTAGAGGTGCGGATGCAGGGCGGGTTGCTTTCAAAATGGGGTTCTCGCTTTGGCACCGTGCACGCTCGTCTGAGCACACATTCACAGATTACTCGTGTGGAGGGCGTTCATTTTTGTAGTGGGGTTCTCACGATGGCGCAGCGAACACTGATGTGCAAATAATCCAACAGCTGCGCGGATGTAGGACGGGTGATTTTCAACATGGCCCTCTCGCTTCGGCGCCCCCAACACTCATATAAAGCATGCCCAAGACTTTGACGGGGCAGGCCGGCTGTTTTTGATTTGGCCTTCGCTTCTGCGCCGCGCGCACTCGTCTTACGCAAATCCAGTAGTTACACGGATGGAGGGTGGTTGGTTTTCAATCTGAGGTCATTGCTTTGTCGCCGCGCACACTTCGCCTCAACGACAAGTCCAACCGTGCTACATATGGCCGGTGTTTCTTTCACACAAAGGTTCTCTCGCCTTGTCGCCGCGGGCACTCGTCTGAACACAGGCCATGCAGTTGGACGAATGGATGTTGGTTTCTTTAGAAGTGAGGCCCTCGCCGCGACGCCGTGGACACACGCCTTGGACAACTCCAACAGCTAAACGTATGTAGGGCGGCTCAATGTCAAAATGTTCTAGCCTGGATGCTGGGCGCCCCCTTTTCAAAGCTGGACTCCCGCGTGAAGCACCGCTTGGAATTCACGACCAGAAGACCCGAACGGTGCGACAGTTACACCGATGGGGGCGCGGTTCCTTTTCGAAGCAGGGTCTGTCGATGGGCACTTCCTGGAGTTCTGCGCTGCCGCTTTGTTCCAGTCTTTTGTTTTCAAGGAGGAGGAGGAGGAGGAGGAGAAGGAGGAGGAGGAGGAAGAGGAGGGGGAGGAGCGCGATCTTTCGAAAAGTAACTCTTGCCTGAACTGCGGGGCTAGGGCGCCCGTCTTTGAAGGGGGGCGCTGCGCGGAGAGGCACAGAATGCTCGTTTGGGTCAGCGAGGCGGAGACGTGGGAGGGGATGCTGTTCTGCAGCATCGATGATACATTTTGGGTCCAATTTCTGCTCATACTTCTCTATCCTTCTTCGTTGGGCCGTTCGTTCGTTCCTTAGCCCCCCACCCCTCTTGCTCTCCATCAGCCTCTCTCTCCATTCTCCCTCCTGTTCACCCTCCCGTCTCCCCATTGCCCCTCCCTCATATTCATCCCTCCTCCCCCCCTCTCTCTCCTCCTCATCCTCCTCCTCCTCCTCCTCCTCCCCCTCCTCCTCCTCATCCTCCTCCTCCTCCTCCCCCTTCTCCTCCTCCTCCTCCTCCTCCTCCTCCTCCTTCTCCTATTTTTTCGGTCTCCCTCCTTCGCCTCTTTTCCTCCTCTCGGAGGCGAATGGAGGAGGATGGAGGGAGACAGGGTGGGAGTGATAGAGGGAGGGCGTAAAAGAGGAGGGAGGGACGGAAGGATGAGGAAGAGGAGGAGGAGGGAAGGAGGGAGGGAGGGAGAAGGGGAGGTCTTCCTCCCCCCAATTCTCCCCCTCCCCCCCACCTCCCCTCCACTCCTCCCCCCCACTCCCCTCCACTCCGCCCGCCCACTCCTCCTCCTCTCCTCCTCCTCCTCCTCCCCCTCCTCCTCCTCCTCCTCCTCCTCCTCCTCCTCCTTCTCGATATCTCCCCCCTCCCTGAGGAACGTGAAGCCCTACGCCCCGCTCGCGGGCCTGGTCGTCCCCCGCCGCTTCGTGCCGCAGGCGCCTCGGCTCCCCGGCGCCGTGCAGCAGGGGGAGGCGGGGGGCGCAGGGAGGGAGGGCGGAAGGAAGGCATCGGCGGCGAGCCCGGGAGGGAAGTCCGAAGGGGCGGGCCCTCTCAGAGGGCTCGGAAGTCCCCGGGGCCTTCTCAGAAGTTGTCTGAGCCTCCCCTGGAAGACCCAGAACGCTTCTCTGAAGGCGCGAGGGCTTCTGAGAAGTCCCGCCGCCTTCTGAGAAGGCCTTCACGTTTTCACGTCCCCCCCCTCGCTCGCCGCCGAAGGGAGGAGAGGAGGAGGGAGGTAGGAGGGTGGAGCATGACAATGATACTGGCCAGTCGCATAGTGAAAACATATATTTCGCAACAGATGTTTCGCAGCCGTGCCCTGACTTGCCGACGAACTCTGTGCAGCTCCGTGTGCCCATGCGCCATGTAGGCGCCTGGTTTCCGTCTCTGACTTCACGTCGGATTCGATTAGTCCAGCAGCACAGTTCGATTGGTTGTTGCGGCGTTGCCGCGTCGTTGCGATGTAACTGCCTTACGCTTGGGAGGGGGTGGGGAGCACCGCTGGTCTCCATGATGAACATGTGTGTCGATCTTGTTCAGGACGTTTGACCAGAGTCTGCGGCGGATTCTTCGTAAATGCTCCACCCCTGTCGGTGAGGCTCTGAACTTACACGGGGAAGACAATTGAATGGTTCGGTTGCTAGCGAAATTGTTGCACACCCCACAGAATCACATCTCGAGCTGCGTGCACAGGTTCATACAAGACTCTTATGGACCTGGCATCCTGCCAGATGGAAGCTGTCGCCAGCCGCCTTCGCACGAAAGTAACAGTCAGGGGTAAGAATCGCAAAGCAAGGGCTGGCCTTCCAGAGGCTAGCTGTGGCCTGGGTGGCCGTTCCGAAACAACGCAGACACCTGAGACCCTGATCGTCCAAGTTACAGTTGGTACTGGAAATTGTTACTGCCGGCTGCGAGAGTGGGGGGAGAGGAGGGGGAGAAGGAGGCGGATCCTTCCTCCTCTTCACGCCACCCGCTTCGAAGCAATCGAGAGTCGATCGGAACAGTCGACGCCGCACATGGTTAGCTTGCATGTCGACTCCAAGTTTTCGAAATCGCACATCCTGAGGACCCCCCGCACTCTGAGGGCAGCTTGGCCGACCAGATCGTCGATCACTTTGTTCCCAACGATCTGCCATCTCGGGGCCTGCCCGTTCACGACCGCAGCTCCGTCCAAGTGTGAGTGGACGAACGCGACGGTGATGAGGGACGGACCCTTGCTCTTCATAATGACGCCGATATGGGCCCATATGTCCGCGTCAGCCCATGTCCGGAACCAGCATTTCTGAGAAACCCAACTTGTGTACAGATTCTCGCAGTCGGTGACGAAGGTGGTATGCTCCGAGCACGTGAAAGCCATCAGCCACAAAGCTTGGAGCTCGTCTCTGGCAAGCGTCTGCCTGGGCCCTGAGCCCTTCCCTGATGGAGCCAGCGATCCTCATGGGGTCGAGCCGGGTAAGAGTCGTGATGCCCATGCCGACCCCCCCGACACCAGGATCAGCTGAGTCTGGCACTCCGCTCGCACCCTGAAAGGCACAGCTTGGCGACCACTCCGCACCGCGAGGAAGGCACTCCGCGACCACGCCATCGTGGAGGCCGTCGTCGTCCCCGTCGTCGGTGTATCGTTTGGGCTCGGCGTGTCGGTCCAGGGCTCGTGGATCAAAAGCCCCCCGGCCAGACGCACGGGGACTGCTCGTGCTGGCTCGTGGCCGCGGGTACGAGGCGATCGATCTGCTGCCGTGCTGGTGGCCGAGTGCTCGCACAACGGCTCCAGCGTCTTTGTGATGAGATGTCTTCGATGTCCTTGCCGCATCCATCACACAAGCCAAGGTACTCGCCAGCACCCGACCCACAGACTGATCGGCTGTGAGTCCTGGCGAGGTCTGGTGTATCCTGTACCTCCCGACCAAAAGAGTGATCGCCGTGAGTCCCGGCGACGTTCCTGCAGTGCTGCTGCTCCTCCCCCTTGTCGTAATCGCAACATGTGGGTGTCGAAGCTGCTCCTTCCTACGTGCCTCTGGCCAAGCACCTCCGATCGCGATCTTGAGAAGGACTCCTGTATGCCTCCTGCCGTTGAGTGTCACTGCACATCACTGACGAAGTAGCCGACGATACGGATGGCTGCCGGCTCTATTCTTAATTCATTCACCGTCGAAGTGGACCTCAGCTTTAGCCCAGTGGGGGGGGGCCATGGCTGCTTCCTTGACCTCCTCCAGGAGCTTTAGAAAGCTTGCGACAGCCAACATTTCAATACCTGTTAGGCTGCAGTCATGAAGCTCCCACTTGGTGGGGCCAGAAGGCCCCCTTATCTCGGGTGATCTTGGGACCCACTGACATCGAAGAATATGACATATAGTTGTTGACAATGGCCCGCGTGCGTGCCTGCTCCGTTGAGCTGATGGCTCTCCTCGGGCTTCTGCCTGGCCTTCGACCATGCACGACGGGCGCCGGCTCGCAGTTCTGGATGCGACCTCCATTGTTGAAACCAGAGAGCGAGAGTGCTTTGGCTGAAGCGAGCGGCGGGGTCTTGACCGTTCGCCTCCAGCTCAGCTCGATCAATGATGTCAGACATCGCATTTTGGTCCTGGCATGGCCTGCTGCGCTTGAACTGCGACGATCATTGTCATCAACTCTTGTCCATACACTCCATGAGTCTGATATCCTCCGCTCGCTGCCGCCTGTGCACCCTGCATGTCCAGCCGATAGATCAGACGGGATATACGAATTGACCTGGTATATACATGATGACTTTGCGATGCCTGGCAAAATGTTTGGCATTATGTTTGCCTGTCTAATCCCGCATGCAACGCCGTCATTCGCACAGGTCCACGCCGAGGTAGTTCGCATGTCTAGCAGCCGTCACAGCCGCTCCTCTGCGACGAAGGGCACAAACGATCTCGCGTGCGTCGCCTGATTGGGGGCACATCATCCCTGACTTGGTCGCCAACTTCAAGCCCTGCTTCCGAAGGCCCTGGGCGGTCGACACGATACGCTTGGCGAGGTTTCTCTCGACCTCCTGGGGAGACCCTTTTGCAGCCTGGGCAACGTCGTCGATCCAAAGTCTGGATGCACCTGACATTCGCAATACATGTCTTTTCCATGATGTGGTACTAGGCGGAACTTCGAATATTGGCAACAGACGGGTAGAGTGTCTTTTCGCGCGCCTGCGAGCGTTTGAGTGTTGCTTGTGCCTGGCGTGTATGTGTGTGCTTGCGTGTTTGCGCGGCGTGGCATGCGTGCTGGGTTGGTGCATGCAGGGTCTCGGGTCTCGTGTCTGGGTTGCTCCATGCAGCGTTTCGGATCCTCGGAAACAAATGCCACGTCCAGCCTTAGCTATGGCGTCGGGGGGCGCGCCCGTAGTTCTCACCGGCCTACGCCCTGCTCCCGGGGCCGCGGTGCCGGGTGTGGCCGCCAACCGCACCGGCACGTCCATAGACCGCCGAGTCGGACGGGAGCGGTATGCGTCTCGGGGTAAGAGACTGGGCGGTACGGCGCCGAAACAGGGTCGAAGTGCCCAAACCTCCCAGTTGAGCCGAGGGGCAACGCCCTCTGGGTGCCTGGGGGGTCGTTCGGTCGAGCGCGCGCGCAGAACTGCGATGGCGCCTGGGGGCGGCCAACCCACAGATGGGGGATCGTTCAGGTTCCCCCCGGCCCAGACTTCTCCCGTCGCCTCACGGTGACCTAAGCTTGGTGCGGTGGGGGTGCGCTTTGTGGAACACGTCCCTGGTACGACCCTTCATATGCACCTCACCGCTATACGTTGGCCCAGACTACTATGTGTGTGGGGCGGGCGGGCACGGCTCGCTGCCATGTATGTGCGGGGGCGGTTGGATTCCTAGAATCTTCCCCCGCACAACGGGCAGCGTGAGGCTGGATCCCGCCTGATCACTGGGGACTGGCAGGCGAGGTGACGCGCCTCGGTCTGGGCCTCTTGACCCTAATGTGCCTCTCCGGGGCGCCGCGCAGTTGTGGTCCCCCGACCTCCGCGGAGTAGAGCGCCGAGTGACAGGGGGGTGGAATGGGCGGGGGGGAAAGCGGGCGGGGAGGCGCCGCCAAAGCACGCGCAGAGGGCTACTATGGCCCAGTATAAGCGCAGGAGGCAAAAGAAAAACAGCTCCGGTGGGGAATGTGCTCGGGTGGTCTGTCCGCTGGGGCGTCGTCGCCTTCTGGTCACTCCATTTCGCCAGGAGGTGCACCGCCCCCCAGGGACTGGGGGTCTTGCACCCTGACGACGTGGAGCCCACTCCCCCTACGCCGGGAGATGTTGTTGCACCATCTCTCAGGGAGTGGGCCCCCTTTCCTCGCGGGCGGGGGGCGATAGCATGGTAGCGCGCTCGGGGACTGATCTCAACTTCTGTCCCACGTCCTCGCATTCATGTAGTAGTTCGGGGCTGGGCTGAGGCATTGCCTCTCCTCCTCGTTCTCTCCTCTGCTCGGGGGTTGGGGGGCGGGCTAGGGGGAGGGTGGGGTGGTCCAAGGGCTTGCTGCGTCGGGAACTGCAGATAACGGAGTGCTCTTGTGGGGAGTGCGCGGGGTTCGCTTGTCATGTGTGTGTGCACATGTCATGTGTCTGTGTGTTGTGTGTGCGTGTGTGTGTACATGATCGTGCTTGTGCTTATGTTCTGAGGGTGCAAATATTCGATGTCCTATTCGTGCCTCTATCATCGGCATGTTCTTCCAGGGCGGGCGTCACAAGGGTCGATGCCCCGACGATGCACCATCATGGAACAAGGTTTATGCCCGAGTTCCCCAGTACGGGGTCTTGTACTGAGTTGGACCTCCCCGCCCAATTCCTCCTGGTCTTCTCTCCTCCCCTCACCTCTACTGCTCTGGGTTTCGGGTCGGTGGCCAGGGTCTGGGTGCTGCTGGAGAGGCGAAGGGAGGCCCCCCAGCCGACGTCCCCTTCCACCACCACCACCACCATGATGTGGTACGTCATGGCCTTGGCGAATCTGATTCCAGATCGGAAACCCTGAGTGATACTGCATATGGGCTTGGATACCATGAAAAGAGCGTTGAGCACCGTCCGAGGGAACCCTAATCGAAGGGCTGCCCGAGCGAGTTTGAGCCAAAACATTTTGTCGTAATATCCGTCGATATTGGGCAACCCGCGTCTGCAATGCCCAAGGATCTTGCAATCTCTTCGTCCAGTACTCTGCGAAACGCTGCCTGGAGAAATGAGTTCCCCCACACAGCTGCATCACATCCAGGTTCGGTTGGCGGCTTTCATGATTGCGCCCAAGGTTCACGAGCCATGTTCCAAACTCCCCCCACCATGGAAGAAAGTCCCATAACTCTCTTACTAGAAAACCATTCCCGGGAGGGGCTCATTCTGATCAACATCGTGTGGGCTGGCAGCGCAAAATGCCAAAGGTTGGGCAAGACCCTCACCGGGCATCTGTCCATATCCCCCGGCGTGAGTCGGTCCACTCCTAAGCCCGACTTGGGTTTTATCGCCCTCAGGGCCCGGCTCAGGCTACCCACGGTCACCCCAAGCAGGGGGGGGGGGGGGGACTTGCACACGGGAGGCCAAGAACGAGGCGGCCTTGTGGCCAAGGCTGAGCAGCGTGCGGAGACGGCGAAGTGCGCGCCCGGGGGGCGAGGACCGCGACAGGCACCGAGCCGTCCGCGGCAGCTTGAACTGGCCACGCGGCCGGGCGTGGGGCCAGCATCGCCATCAAACATGTTGTATGTGTATGTATGTTTGCATGCATGTGTGTATGTGTGTATGTATGTATGTATGTATGTATGTATGTATGTATTTATGTATGTATTTATGTATGTATGTATGTATGTATGCATGTATGCATGTATGCATGTATGTATGTATGTATGTATGTATGTATGTATGTATGTATGTATGTATGTGTGTAGGTGGGTTGGTCGTAAGTAGGTATGTATGTATTTAAGAGCAGCATCGCCATCATCGCCATCGCCATCGCCATCGTCATCAGCGCCATCATCATCCTCAGCATCCTCTTCATCCTCATTTTCATGATCCTCCTTAGCACCACCATCATCATCATCATCATCATCATCATCACCACCATCATCATCAGCACCAAAATCAGCATCATCACCGTCATCAACATCAGCACCAAAAGCATCATCACCACCGCCACCGTCATCCATCATCATCATCATCAGCATCATCATCATCATCAGGATCATCATCATCATCATCATCATCATCATCATCATCATCATCATTATCATCATTACCATTACCATTACCAGCATCATTATCGTCATCGTAATCATCACTATCATGGACATCATCAGCATCACCATCATCATCAGCATCATCATCAGCACCGTCATCATCATGGTCATCATCATCATGATGAGAATCATCGTCCTCATCATCATCCTCATCATCATCATCCCAGCCCTCCTCCGCATCCCTCTTTCTGCTTCCTTGGCCTCCTCGTCGTCATGGCCTTACCCTGGCAGGACCCAGACAATCTTGGCCCCGAGTGCCTGGCGGTGGTCGAGCAGCTCAAGCGGATAGGCGCCAGGGGCGAAGAAAGCGAAGGAGGGAAGGGCGCGGAGGGAAGGATGACGTAGGAAGAGGGAAGGAGAGGAGGAAAGAGGAGTTGCCACCTCCACCTCCGATGTGGAGAATAGGGAGGAGGAGTAGGGAGTAAGGAGGAGGAGGAGGAGGAGGAGGAGGAGGAGGAGGAGGAGGAGGAGGAGGGACTGCGTAATTCGGGGCAGGTCCACCCCGTTGCGAGCGCCAACCACACCAGAGAGCCTACGGGCCAGCGCAACGGGGTGGTAGGTGGCACCCCGAAGGGGCGCCCCGAAGCACTGCCCCTTGGGCCCCGCCCGATTGGTGCACGCGCGGGGCACGCGGCTTCGCACAGGCAGCCAGCCATCCACCCACCCGTATAATGCGAGCACGCCGTGCAGAACACCTCCCGTGCGGCCCCATCGGGCGCATGTCGGAGCCTCCTCCAACCGGCGAGGACGCGGGAGCTGCGTGGACGCATTCGTCCATGCAGGGAAGCCCAGCGGCGGCAACGGCGGCGGCCCCGATGGAACCCCCGGCGTGCGCCTGCTCGCACGGAGACGCCAGCCGCGAGGACGAAAGCGTCCGCGCAGGGAGGACCCAGCAGCGGCATCGGCGGCGGCCCCATCGGGCCCCCGGTGCGTGCCGGCTCGCACGGAGGCGCCCGTTGCATGGACGAAATCGCTTTTGCGCAGGGAGGCCTCGCGGCGGCCACGGCGGCAGCCCCGAGGGGCCCCTGGTGCGCGCCGGCACGCCCGGGGGCGCCAGCGGCCGGGCAGACCGGAGAAGGGTAAGGGGGCCATAACAGACGAGATGGGATGGAAAGGAGATGGGGAGGTGACGGAAGAGGAGGGGAATGGAGGAGGAAGGACGGGGGAGGAGGGAGGGAGCAGGGAGGAAAATCCGAGAAGGAGGGAGGAGGAGGAGGAGGAGGCACAAGGGAGAAGGGAGGGAGGAGGGAGGAGTAAAGGAGGGATGAGGAGTAGGAAGGAGGAGAATGAGGGAAGAGAGAGGAGGAGGGAGGAGGGCGGAGAGAGGGAGGACAGAGGAGCAGGGCAGAAAGGAGGAGGAGGAGGAGGAAGAGAGAGGCAGCGAGGATGGAGGACTGAGGAATGCAGGGAGGACGAGGAGGAGGAGGACAAATTCGAGAAGTAGAGGTCGGGGAAGGGGGAGGAGGGCTGAGGAGGGCGGAGGAGGACAAAGAGATGCGGAGAGAGGAGGAAGGGGAGGAGGAGGAGGAGGAGGAGAAGGAGGAATAGGAGGAGGAGGAGGAGGAGGAGGAGGAGGAGGAGGGGAGTAGAAGGGACGAGGAGGAGGGGGGAGGAGACGGAGGCGGGGACGACGGAGTTCGACGGTATACGAAGAGGAGGGGGACGACGGAGGGACGGAGGGAGTGCAACACAGTTCTCCACCCGGCTCTCTCTTTCCTTCGCCTCCCACCTTGCAACGTCCTCCTACCGCACGTCATGCCATTTGCCCCTCTTCCCTGTGAGTGACTCCCGTATCACACCACCACACATGGGCGTAGGCCCGACAGAGTGTTTCATGGTCAGACAGTCTAACAGTGTATTACCGTGAGCCTCACAAAGGATACGGGGCCGTGACTTGCGAAATTGAGAATCTCGCCATGGCTCTGCGCACATTCGTTCAAACAGTGCGCAACAGGTGATGACACGTATGGAGGCCATTTCGTTGTTTTAATGCGGCTCTCGTTTGAGACTTCCCCGAATCCAATGATCCGAAGTTCCGAACGGCGTGCGTCTCTTTTTCAAAATGAGGCTACCGGTTCAAATTTCCGTAAATTCTATGACCAGCATTGTTTGAATCTGACCGCCCCACATCTTTGCTTTTCCTCTGATTCGAAGGATGGGTAGGTGGGTCCTCTAGCATATTGGGTCCCGCCTGAGTCGCAGGCAATGCAGACGCTCGTAATGCAAGGTGGGCGTTTCCCGCAGTGGGCAAGAGTAGCTTGTAGAGCTGTCTAGGAAGGAGACTCGGGGCGAGTGGGTGCTTGGCAGCATCGCTGACGAGCCATGGGCTTAAAGTGGTTGTCCTGCGACTCCTCCTGCTCTTCCTGCTTCTCCACATCTTCTTCTCCGACCGGCTACTCCTCCACCGTCCTGCTCTGTCCTCTTCTCTCAACATCACCATCGTGACCATCGCCATTATCAGCATGTTCCTCGCTGCTTCTCCCTCTTGCTTATCTTCGTACGCCTCGGCATCCTCCCCCACTTCCTCCTGTATCCCTTCCCCTCCTTAACTTCTTCTTTCCCCTTCCCCCAGCATGGTTCCCATAACCCCCCTTATTGCACGCATCCTGCACCCTCTCTCTTCCTTTCATGTCCATGTCCTTTCCCCTCCACCTTCTCAATCGCCCCCCTTCCTTCCTCCGTCTCCTCCGCTATCCTCAGTCTTCCTCATCCCTCATCCGCCATCCCTCATCATCCTCTACGCTCCTCCATTATCCTCCACCCTTCATCCTCCGTCCTCCTTGATGTTCCTCCTTCCGTCCTACTCGTCCCCCCTTCATCGCTCTGTCGCTCCGCGAATCGCTCATTACCCTACTCCGCGTGTTCCTCGTCATCATTCGTATTACCACCATCGTGCTCATCCATATCTCCCTTGCTCGTTGCACCATCGATATTGCCCTCCTCGTCCTTCTCATCCCTCATCCTCCAGTTTCTCCATCCTCCGCCCACCATCCATTGTCATACCATCAGTCGCACCTGACGTATCAGCATCCATTGTGTCTCCTCCATCCGACCTTCATGCATCATCAATCCTCCTTCCTTTTCCGATCCCACCCCAACCCGCCTCTTCCATCCTCAGCGTTCCATCCTCTCACCATCCGTTCCCCATCACGCATCCTCAATTCTCACCGCAGTTCTTCACTTTGCTCCACCATCCATGCGCCGCTTGTTCCCCCCAATCGCGATTCGTCCTTGGATGTTCCCCCCTTCCACCGCCTCCTCCTCCTCCCCCTCCTCATAGCCAGACGTGGGTATCTGGACATAATCTCCCGAAGCTTAGCGCCCACTGTTGCTAGTAAAGCTGAGAAGGCGGCTCGGCCTCAGGAGTAATTCGTTACATGTACGTATATATGTTATAGATATGCTTATATATATATATATGTATATATATGACTCGCTTCGCGAGTGGCCCCATCCCATCTCTTCGCCTCCGTTTTCGGCCATGGTCTTTCGATCCGTTCATCGTCAGTTCGTTGCTTCGTGCTCCTCTAGGTGAAGGGAAGGGATGGAGGAGGGGGGATGGAGGAGGACAGCGGAGAGTTCTGGAGTTCTGGGTATGGCGACAGTGCTGGTTACAATTGAAGCAGATTAACCCTGTTGCTTCCTTCTGGCCAGTTCGGCTTCACGGCGAATTTTAGGCCAGAGTCCACGGGTGATTCTATCAAGATACATTCTGCGATTACCATTGACGACCTCATTACACACTGCACCGAGCTGCTTCAGTTGCTCAGGCGCGAAGCAGCCACATGCCGTGCAAAACCAGATACCCAGTCCCGAATGGAATTTGAGTATGTGTGATGTGTGAGCGTATCCCCCCGAGATGTGCACCCGCGCGCCTGGGGGGGTCGCCTTTCAAACAACACCGTCCACATTAATTCAGGAACAACAAGGTGAGCTCATCCACTCGGTTTTACGAGCTTGGGAAGCAAAGCCCTGACACCTGGAACAGCTCATGGAGTTGTCCTTGAGGCGATGCTGAGTCGAAAACATAGCACACACACTGGCCGCAGGCGGCCTTACAACAGAAGAAACATGTTGCTGACGCCTACACCTACGCTTGCCCCCGTCGGCGGCCTCGAGTCTGTCCTCGGCAAGGATGGCCTCAAGGGTGTTTTGAAGGATGCGCATGCGGACTGCGAAAACTTGCTGTTCTACTAAGTATATGCGTGCACGTGCAGACTCTGGAAGTCGGCCGATTGCGGCTCCTAGCGCTGCGAAGCAATCCGCATGTACACATATATATATATATATATATGTCTATATATGTATATATGTAGGTATGTGTATATATATATGTATATATACTGCTTAGCACGAGGTTACGGGGGGCGACTCCTCTGACTATGTGCTCACCCTCCAGGTGGGAATGAACGAAACATACCGAGCAAGAAACCGCCTCCCGCCGCTGCTGCAACATCTGACCTACCTGCCACCAGAGATCGGCGTCGGGTCCTGATGGGTGCAACCAACGTCTCTGATGCCAACCTTCATTCATGGCATCGTTATCCGTGACATACACAACTGTGCCTGATGCCTGACGGAGACAAAACATGAGACAATAGAGCTCACCCCGCACCACAGTCTGCTTGCTGCCAGGAAGTGGGCTCCACACACCTAGGTTCAACTCCATTCGTGAGACATCTTGGAAAACCGCGAGCCCCAAACCGACGCGACGGAGGAGGGGGTGATGTGTATCCTTCCCCCCGTTCGCGTCCCCGAAAACAGAAACGGGTCTACCAGGGGAGCTCTGGGCTACGGTTTCAAAATCAAGACTTTTGGACGAGACCCACTGTTCGGCCTCAGGGGGAGCTGCAACTTGCATCCAAGCCCTAGGGATTAGGCCTCGAGTCCAAACACATTCCTCGGCTTCAGCTTGAGCGTATGCTTTGGCTACTAGATCTTCGCTAAGCTTATACACGGGATGCTGCGACCTACAACTACATCCCCATATGCGGTGGAAGCTCGTCTCTGGAACGAGCTTACAACGTGCACACTTTACACCAAGCGTCTGCCGACATCGAGTTTGGCGTCGGCTGCGAGGCTAGGCCGCGCCCGCCGCCGCCGCCAGGAGGAGCCCCGCGAGGCGTCGGCCGCCTGGCGCTTGCTCCAACTCCTTCAGCAGGCGTATGTAGGAGTAGTTGCATACTCCTGCCTCCATGCCAGCGCCGCCGAAGTGCTGCGCCGCCGTCACCCACATGCTTGCCTCGATGGTCTGCCGGAACTCGACGAAGAAAGCTTCGGGAATGTCCAATACTGGATGCCCTGTCATTCTGGTCGTGTTGAACTGCTACTCTGACTTGCCGGCGGGAGTCGTCCACGCCGAAGGTGAATCAGGCTTCCACCCTGCGTCAAGGAGGTACGCAATGGTGGTGCCCTGAGGTCCCCGAATGTGGCGACAACGCCTTGCAGCAGGCATATCCGTGAAATCTGCAACCACTTCAGACCAAGAACGTGTAATTCCTGCTCGCAAGGTCGGCTGAGAACTCCACATGGCCAGCTACATGCGCAAGGTGTCGCACGGCAACTTATACTGCGGGTCACGATCAGGAGCTCGAAGATCCAGAAGTTTTGTGATGCATCTTCCAGTGAGCCGCGGACCAACCGAGTTGGCCAGCTTCCGCCTGACCTGCTTCATCTGTCCGCCCCATACGCCGTGCAGCTGGTGACCGTACAGCCCTGCAGGTTCAGCTCCTTGAAGCTCGAGGCGGGCAGGCACGCGATAGCGCCGCAGCGCTCGCGCGAAGCCCACGATCTTCTTGGACATGGCCGTGTGCTTCTGCGCGCGAGCCTGTCTGGTGGCACGACCGTGCTGTCTGCCGCCCGTCAGGTCCGCGCCCAAGTAGGCAGCCTGGGTGGCCACCTTGAGCTGGAACCCTCTGGCGGCCACTCGTCGCACAACCGTCCTTGCATCTGCCACATGCGTGCAAACGACGACTTACTTGGGAGATACTTTCAACCCGTTATCGCGCAGCTGCTGGCATGTGTCCACCAAACAAGCGACAAGTCGGTTGCGAACTGCAACACGTGACCCGTGAACTGT